AAAAAAAAAAAAATCTCCTTTCCCAGGCCGCTCCCAGAAATGCTCTGATTCTAGAGGTCTGAGGTGGGAGCCCTGGCAACTGGAGTACTTTACATCTTGCCAGATGATTTGGATCTCAAGCTAGGGGTGGCGTCTCACACTCCATAGCACCCAGCTTTGTGCCCAGGGTAGACAGCAGTCGGCTCTGAAGGACTAGTTGGAACCCAGAGTTGCGGTTAATAGGTATGGAATCGGTGGCAATCGCTGAACCAGTGCTCCTAGGTAGATGAAATCTGATTGTCAGTCCTGCTCTGTGGAGGATGCAAGCCCCGCTCCTTAACCTCCCTGCCGCCGTTGACCTTCCCCAGTCCTCCCCCGCTGCCCACCCTCGCTCCCTCTGTCACTTTCAATCACTCAGATGGCCAAGGTCTTTTCTGCTTCTACTCTCGGCAACAAGTGCTGTCATCTGTGATTCCTACTCCCCCAGAGGCCCGACCTGAGGCCTATTTCCCCAGGATCTTGGGAGTCATTCACCGACACTCTGAAAGTCCCCTCTGCCCATGTGGCTGGGTGAATGTGTGAGTAGCCCTGCGTCAGAGGTCCAGCCAGGATCCCTAGAGAGCTTCAGGGTCCCGAGGTCCGTTTATTTCCACTACACCAGAGATTTGCCAGACGTGGGGCCCAAGATTCTGCATTCTAGCTGTTTCCCAGGGCAGGCAGCCTTGGTCCACCCCTGGAGGAAGCCTCTCCCCCACCAGGGGGCCACCCTCTCAGCACCCAGCTACGGCCAGTCTCCGGGGTAAAGCATCTGCCACTTAGCAGTGCTGGGCTGACACTCAACAGCACCCACGAGCTGTCTTCTCTATTTGGGAGATAACTTTGAACATGACCCTGTGATCAGTTTAACATTTCCTTTCCCTTGACACCCTTCTTTTTCTCTCCAAGACCCTCTTTGTGCTTCCCAGACCTTCGAGGGCCTCGCTGCCAACTCTGCCTTCCCAACTGTACGACGTGCCCGTGCAGAGCCGGGTCCCCTCGGCCCTTAAGGTGAGCCTTGCGTGGTGGCCCCGCTCCCTGATCCCCCAGGCCTGGGCTGAGTGGGGTCTGGGCGGCTCACAGATAGCTGATTTCAGCTTCCCTGAGGGAGGCCTCCAGGGGCTTCAGTCCCCTAACTCTGAAGGTCATATCATCACTGAGAGGCAAGCTTTGCAGGATCCAGGCCTGCAGGGGAGAACACTGTGGCTATTGGAATTCCAGACATTTTTAAATTTTTACTTTTCATTTGTAATAGATATTTCATTATGAATATAGACACCTACACACATACATTTTTAAGGAATAATATCTTTTTGGCAGTGCTGGCGACCCAGCCCAGGGTCTCAGAGCATGTTAGGCAAGCATTCTATCACTGAGCTATTTATTCCCTGAACTCCTAAAAAAACAGTATCTTGGAGGATATGCACCACAGTTTTAAGGTTGGTGATCTTAACATTGATCATTCATTATCTCTGGGGGAAGAAATTTTAGGTGGTTTTTTTTTTTTTTTTTTCAGTATTGGGGATTAAGCTCAGGGTTGCTTTACCACTGAGCTGCATCCCAGCCCTTTTTATTTTTTTATTTTGAGACAGGGTTTCACTAAGTTGCCCAGTCTGGCCTCCAACTTGCGATCTTCCTGCCTCGGCTTCCTGAGTTGCTGGGATTACAGGCGTGTACCACCACGCCCGGCAAGTTATTATTGTTTTTTAACTTACTTTTACATAATAGGCACATCAAAAACAGCTTCGCTCCTTTCTCAGCTCTCAGACTTCAGCACATATGGAGTTACCCGGCAGCTTTCCCAAGTCCTGCTGCCCAAGGCCCATCCCCAGAGATTCTACCCTGTCAGGTCTGGGCTCAGGTATTAGGACTTTCAAAGCTTCCAGGAGATGCTAATGTGCAGCCAGGACTGAGATCACAGCACTAGTCTAAACAGAACTTGGAGCAGCTCTGTGACTTCCTGGTCATTCAGTTAAAAGAAGTCACTTTGGAGTCCCCAGTCTCCATGGGGAATTTTAACATCCCATCCAGGCAATAATCAAATGTGCATTCATTTCAGGCCAAAGTTTCTGCCCTCCCTTCCAGCCTGCTTGCTGGGCCTGGTCTCCAGCAATGGGACCTCAGGATTGACTGGGTTCTCTGCTGGTTCCATGGCTCAAGGTCTCCATTCCCCTCTCACTCTCTGGGAGGTCTCAGACTCTTTCAGGGCTTCAGGACACAGGCAGGGAGAGAGGACAGGAGAAAGGCCCTATGTCTTCTGGGGACATGGTGCAGGTGCTGAATGCTGGTGGCAAGTGTTCAGACTGACTCTCCTCTGGGGCTGACCCCACCTCCTAACTGATCACTGCTTACCTGAAAACCCCACCCAGGGTGCAAATGTACCTACTCTGGTTGGTGCCTCTTCCCTTAGCCCCAAGGCAGGCAGGTTATTTCCAAAGCATCCTCCTGAGATTCCCTCCCCCATCCTGGCCTGCTCATGCTCAGTTCCCATGCAATCCCAGTTGGGCCATGGAAGGAACATGCTCCCATTGCCAAGACGGACAAGGGAGCACCAGCATCTTCCCAGGGGGAAGCTTCTTAAATGAAGACACACTTAAACCCATGGCCTCACTTTCCTTGCCCTAATCCCCAGCCTGTCGGGTCCTGTCTTTGTTTAAAACGTTGACATTTCATTCATCATGATTTTTTGCATTAATTATGATTTTTAAATACTTGGCCTAGATGACCGAGGGTTTTGGTGCCCCTGGATGCTAGGCCCAGGGCAAGGGCTGTGCTTTCTATCACTCTGGTCCTGACCCCAAGAACAGGCCATCACAGCACAGCCACACTCTGCTTGGTTGTCAGCCTCTAAACTCTCCAAAGCCAGATCCAGCCCCCTGCACTATGACCCAATGTTGAGGGCATAGTCATCAAGTCAAGTCACCAAAGGATCCTATTGGAACCCTCAGTGCTTCACTTGTGGAGTGCACTTGTCCCTAACCCTGAAGGATTTGCAGGAGACTAAGCTCGACTCGGCAAAGAAGCCCCCTAATACCCAGCTCTTTCCCTCTTTCTTGGCAAAGCCTGTTCTGGTGTTGCCTTGCCTTGGAACTTGGAACTTATTTTTTACATCCTAATATACACATATTCTGATCACTGTATACATTTTACATATGAAACATAAAACATTTGTATCTCAAGCCTCTGGAGGAGCCTGGCAGGGGAATGACAAGCTCAGCATCTGGCACTCAGTAGGTCTTCAGTAGGATGCACATTTTTTCAAAGGGGTAATCCAAGCTCCCTTTTTATTGCTCTCATCACTGTACGTACACAGTTCCACCTGGCTCGGCATAGTTAGTAGTCACTCGATACATATATTCAGAATGACAGCATGAGTGACAGGAGAATTTCTGTTGTGAAAAACAAACAAAAAGATGTATTAGGCTCCCATGTCATTGTCCCTTCTGGCTTCTTTCCATCCTAAGGTTAACTGCCTTTAGATGAGTGGCCAATTTCAGTTCAGGTGACTACAGTGAGCTCTCTACGGCTTCCCTCAGTCCTTGGGGAAGGAGAGCCGTATACATCACCATGTCCAGTGTTGAACTTACATCCGTTGCAGCACATGGAAGAGCACCATGATTGACAGCCCCAAAGTGTTCAGGGATTTTTTTCTTTCATTGGAAAAAAAAAAAAAAACATTGGAGAGTGGAGAGTTTGTGATGATAGCCATTAGGAAGAAAAAAAATCTAAGTTGTCCTCCTCTGTGGTCTTTCCCTAGGAGCCGGAGAAGCAGCAGTTATATGACATACCGCCCAGTCCCCAAAAGGCAGCACTCCACCTTCCAGCCAGCCAAGCAGGCGTGAGTATGAACAGGTGCCAAGCTGCGGTGCCATGGAAGCCTAAATGTCTGCTGGGAAACTTTATTAGCTTGATGTGTCCGTCAGCTTTCCATTGTTGTGACAGGATACCTGAGGTAAACAACTCCTAAGGAGGAAAGGTTTATTTTGTCTCATGGTTTCAAAGGTTGTGCCTCTGGTCAGTTGGCATATTGCTTTGGGCCTATGGCAGCACAGTATACCATGGAGGGAGCACAGTGGAGCACAACCACTCACCTCCTGGTGGCCAGAAAGCAGACAGAGGAAGAGGAAGGTGCTGGAGTCCTAATATCCTCTTCCAGGGCACATCCTCAGTGAACTCACTTCCTCTAATTAGGCCCCATCTTTTATAGGGCACCACTATTCACCTCCCAGTAGCACCTCCGGCTGGAGAATAAGACTAACGCTTGGGCCTCCAAGGGACTTCCTAGATAAAAAATCAGTTGCAAATTCCCCATAACAAACCTTAATGTATTTTATTTTATTTTATTTTATTTATTTATATTATTAGTTGTTCAAAACATTACCTTACTGTATTTTAAACAAAAAACTTAATTGCTCTGGGGTTTAGGAATAGGATGTGGTTTGAGTAAGACTTAGCTTCTTCATGCCTCAGTTTTGTATTGCAGATATATTGGGAGGATTAAGTGGGATAATCCCTGCAAAGCACCCACTAGAGTGCCTGGCACAGAGCAAGAGCTCAGCAAGTGTTAAAAATCACTTCTTCTTAGGAGAGACCTCGGGGATGCACTGCATTGAAGTATGCTTCTGTGTGTGTAGGGGGATTTATCACTGGATTCGACCACATGCGTCCCATGGATATACTTTTGTCCAAAGTTATTAGGGGCGGCCTTACAAAAGAGGTGACATTTCAGCAGTGCCATGAGCAATATAGAAAATTTAGTAGATGGAAAGGAAAGAGTTGGATGGGCAGATAAAGCAAAGGGACTAGTTTTGGCAAAATTTTAAATATGGTGGTGTGAGTGTGTGTTCTGAGTTCAGGCAAGGCAAATAGTCCAGGGGACTGGACCTATAAGTACAGGGTGGACGAGGGGGGGTGGGGGGCTAGTAGGTTGGAAATAAAGAGAAAAGAGGCTCAAAAAGGAGGGGGGATCGAAATTGTGAGGGGCCTTGAGTGATAACAGTGATGGGGAGCCACAGAAGGGACTAGAGGGAGGAGAAACAGTCAGACGTGAAGGGTAAGCCCTTTTTTTATTGCTGCTAACATGGGCGACTACATGTGGTTCTTCCACAGGACATTCCTCTGAAACCAGTGTTGGCATTTAGAAGAGAGGGCTGCAGCACATTGCCAAGCCCTCAGAAATCAGAATGGATTTATGACACTCCAGTGTCTCTGGGCAAGGCCAATGTCAGAAATGCATCTCTAGCCAGCTTCGTGGAAGAAGCAGGGCCAAATGCTGTCCCCAGTTCCAGCTCTACTTTCCATAGACCTCCAGATACCAAAGTCAGGATCCTCCCTTCACAGCCAAGTAAAAAGGTGCCCATGAAGAAGAATCCCAGCCTTTCAGATGTCCCTTCCTACACCATCCTAGTGCCCAGGAACACACTCTCTTCAGATGCAGGCGCCAGCTACAAGGTGCCTTCCAGCTTTCTGATTCCCCGAGTGGAGCAGCAGAACACCAAGCCCAATATTTATGACATCCCTAAAGCAATGCCAAGTGTGTCCCAGGCAGGGAAAGAACAGGGAAAAGCCAAGGAGGTTCCAGAGAACCCCCGGGGCCACAATTCCTTCGAGTTCCCCAGACGAAAAACTTCCCTATCTCCAGAACCAGACAGATCATCCATTGCCAGCTCGGACAGCAGAGCCAGTGTGGTTTCTTCCTGCTCCTCCATATCAACTGACTCCTCTTCTAGCTCCTCCTTGGAGGACTCAGCCAAGGAGCTCTCCCTGGATCTGCACTTAGCCAAAGAGACAGCAATGAGCCTACAGCACAAAGTGGTCAGCTCTGCAGCAAGCCTGCTGCTCTTTGTAAGTAGGAAGTGGAGGTTCAGAGACTCTCTGGAGGCCAACATTGATGGGATCCACAGGGCTGCTGACCACATAGAAGGAGCTTTAAAAGAATTTCTGGATTTTGCCCGAGGAGTTTATGGGTCAACCTGCAACGTCACTGACAGTCATCTTAGGGCCAGAATTCGAGATCAGTTACAGACAATCTCCAATTCCTACCAGATCCTGCTAGAAACCAAGGAAAACCTGGACAGCTGCAATTGGTCCCTCGAAGTTCTTGTGACAGACAAAGTTCAGAACAGCCTCGATGACCTTGAGAGGTTTGTCATGGTGGCACGGATGGTTCCAGAAGATGTCAAGAGATTTTCCTCCATTGTCATTGCCAATGGGAGGCTGCTCTTTAAGGAGAATTGTGAAAAAGAAGAGACCATCCAGTTGTCCCCAAATGCAGAATTTACGTGTAAAAAAGGCATCCAGCTTCCACAAAGAGAAGTAGAATCATACCAAAAGAGGGCTCCTTTTAATAAAGCAAGGGAAAACTACCATTCCCCTGAAGTACTTAAGAAAAATGGGACAAGTGCCCCTGAACAGGTGAGTTCAGAGGTCCCAGTGGCATAAAGTGGGTCTTCTGATGTCGTCCAGAGCC